CCTGTGGAATTCATTACCACAGGAAGTAGTTGATGCCAAAACATTGAAGGTATTCAAGAGGTGACTAGATACAGCACTTGGGGAGAATGGGATCAAAGGTTATGGGGAGAAAGCAGGATTAAGCTGTTGAGTTAGACGACCAGCCACAATTGTGATGAACAGTGAGGCAGGCTTGAGGGGCTGAATGGCCTCCTCCTGCTCCTATCTTCTATGTTTTCTATGGTATATCTAAGACTTCTAGAAGGCATTTGACAAGGTACGGCATAAAAGACTGATCCAGCAGGTTAGACCCCAGATAGGATTAGGGTTAGACCCCAGGGAGTTAAGGGTGGAGTACTGGCTTGGATAGAGGATTAACTGACTGATAAAAAGCAGACGGTGGGGATAAATGGGTCCTTCTCTGCACGATGAACTGTAACTAATGGGGTGCTGCAGGGTTCAGTTCTTGGAACTCAAGTATTTACGATCTATATAAATGATCTGCAAACAGGGACAGAGTGTAACATACCAAAATTCATGGATGATACTAAAATAGGTGGGAAGGCAGGCAGTAATGAGGAGACAAAGAGTTTACAGATGGATATTGATAGGCTTGGAGAATGGGCCAGAATCTGGCAGATGGTGTTTAATGTGGATAAGTGTGAGGGTGTCCATTTTGGTTGGAAAAATAAAAGGGCAAGTTATTATTTAAATGGGAAGCAGATTCAAAGTGACTCAGTGCAGAGGGATCTGGGTGTCCTTGTGCATGAATCACAGGAAGTGGGTATGCAGCCGCAGTGTATAATAAGGCAGGCAAATGGAATCCTGGCATTTATTGCAAAAGGACTGGAATATAAAAATAAAGACGTGCTGTTACAATTATATAATGCATTAGGTCCAGTTCTGGTCTCCTTACTTGAGGAAGGATTGGGTGGCACTGGAGGCAGTTCAGAGGAGGTTCACCAGATTGATTCCAGGGATTAAAGGACAATTATCTGAGCAGTGCTTGAATAGTTTGGGCTTATGCTCGCTGGAGTTCAGAAGAATGAGGGGGGATCTGATTGGGATATATAAAATGCTAAAGGGGATTGATAAGGTGGACATTGACCAGATACTACTCCTTGTGGGACAGTCTAGAACAGGATAGCATAGATATAGAGTGAGAGGGGGTAGGTTCACAGCTGAGACGAGGAGAAACTGCTTCTCTCAGAGGGTTGTGAATCTGTGGAACCCACTGCCCCAGAGTGCACTGGAGGCAGAATCAATCAACAGATTCAAGAAAGAAATGGATATGTTTCGCATGAAAAGCAGGATAAAGGGCTGTGGGAAGCAGGCAGGAGTGTGGAGTTGGGACCAGGATAAGATCAGCCAGGATCATGTTAAATGGCAGTGTGGGCTCAAAGCACTGAATTGCCTGCTCCCCTTCCAAATGCCGATGTTCCTATTTCAACCTCCACCCCATTCCCAATTCAATTCTTAACCAGCATCACGTCTCCTCCCTCTGTACTGTCCCTTGCCACTCTCTCCCCACTCACACCAATCCTTTGATCTTTTCCTGCCAGCTTCACCGTGGCCTGATGATTAGATATAGGACGGTAATGGTGAGAGGGGACATTCACTTGTTAAGAGAGAGGAGGCTGATTGGACAAACAGCTGCTTAACCACAAGCCCATCAGTTGGAATTTATTCATTTTACCCGGATCCAGCTGTGTGTCTCCCTGACTTGTTCCGCAGCAGGGAGGTGTGGAGACTGCCTGGAACATTCTGCCCTGGAGAGAATGATCGCAGTGAGGAAGCTGGATCCAACGGTCCGTCTCGTCCTCTCTGAAATACCAGGGAGGGTGGTCCTGCAATCAGGTTCGTGATCAGACTGTGAGGCTGCAACAACACAACGGCTCATCGTTAGGAAACTGAGCTGACCTGCTCAAAAGGCCCTGCGCCTCCACCCGCAAAACAGGTCACTTCCACACCATCCCCAGGCGCCCCACAGGACCTGGCTCTGGCTCTCCCCACCCCGAACCCCCCCCCCCCCACAACTGGGACGGGCTCTGCCCCTGCCCACCTCGAACCCCCCCACCCTGGTGCCCCACGAGACTGGGCACTGCCCCTGCCCATTCTGAACCATCCCACTCCGGCTGCCCAGCGGGACCAGGCTCTGCCACTGCCCACCCTCGGCACCCCTTGGGAACGGCTCTGGCCCTCCCCCCCTCCCCAGGGTTGGTCCTTACCTCGGACTCAGATTGTACGGACTGTAAGGATGTGAACAGGCCGTTCTCCGGAAGGAAGCTGTGGTTTCCAATCACTGTGCCCTTCTCTCGGCTGACCTTCTCCTTCAGTTGGCTGATGAAGGCAGTACTGTCCTGTGGGGGCTGCCACTGAGGGTTCGTGATGGCAAAGTGCATGAGGGAGAGTTCGGTCTTGCCATCCTCAGCCTGCTGATAGATGGAGGCCTCAGTCTTGCCTCCAGAAAACCACTGGTAGACAATAGAGTTATAATCAACACACACAAATTCATTTATATGTAATTAGAATATTCTAAGGAGCTGCATCAAACGAAAACGACATCCAGTAACACATGAAGATGTTGTGATAAATGCCTGGTTTTATGAACAGGAAGAGGCCATTCAGCCCCTTGAACCTGTTACACAGGTACAGGAGTAGGTCGTTCACCCCATTGAGTCTGTTACACTAATTACATATACCAGCTTTTATCCCATATCCCTTGTCTCCATTTTCAGGTGACTAAGATGATTGATGAGGGAAAAGCAGTTGATGTTGTCTACATGGACTTCAGTAAAACCTTCGACAAGGTCCCTCATGGCAGACTGGCACAAAAGGTGAAGTCACATGACATCAGGGGTGAGCTGGCAAGATGGATACAGAACTGGCTTAGTCATAGGAGACAGAGGGTAGCAGTGGAAGGATGCTTTTTGGAATAGAGGGCTGTGACTAGTGGTGTTCCACAGGGATCAGTGCTGGGACCTCTGCTGTTCGTGGTCTACATAAATCATTTGGAGGAAAATGTGGCTGGTCTAATTAGTAAGTTTGCAGACAAGACAATGATTGGTGGAGTTGTGGATAGTGAGGAAGATTGCCAGAGGATACAGGAGGATGTAGATCAGTTGGAGGCAGAGGCAGAAAAATGGCAGATGGAGTTTAAGCCGGACAAATGTGAGGTGACGCATTTTGGAAGGTTAAGTGCATGTGGAAATTATACAGTGAATGGCAGAACCCTTAGGAATATTGATATGCAGAGGGATCTGGGTGTACAGGTCCACAGGTGGCAGCGCAGGTAGATAAGGTAGTAATCATTGGAAGGGGCATTGAGTACAAGGATAGGCGAGTTATGCTGCAGCTTTATAGAACTTTATTCAGGTCACATCTGGAATATTGTGTACAGTTCTGGTCACCACACTACCAGAAAGATGTGGATTCTTTGGAGGGGGTACAGAAAAGATTTACCAGGAAGTTGCCTGTCATGGGGGATTTCAGGCATGAAGAAACGTTGGATAGACTGGGTCTGTTTTCACTGGAACACAGGAGTTTGAGGGGTGACCTGATAGATTATAGAATAGATTACAGAATCCCTAGAGTGTGGAAACAGATCCTTTGACCCAACAAGTCCACACTGACCCTCAGAGCATTCCACCCAGACCCATCCCCCTATAACCCACCTACTCTACATCCCTGAACACAATGGGCAATTTAGCATGGCCAGTCCACCCTAACCTGCACATCTTTTGGACTGTAGGAGGAAACCGGAGCACCCAGAGGAAACCCACGCAGACACAGCCAGAATGTGCAAACTCCACATAGACAGTTGCCCAAGAGTGGAATCGAACCCAGGCTTCTGGTGCTGTGGGGCAGCAGTGCTAACCACTGAGCCACCGTGCCACCCCGCCACCCCCTAAGGAAGTTTATAAGATAATGAATGGCATGGAGAGTGCGCAAAGTGGAGGCTATTTCCCAGGGTGGAGGGCTCAATTACTGGGGGTCAACTGTTCAAGGTGCAAAGGGGCAAGTTTTTCACACAAAGGATGGCGAGTGCCTGGAACCCGCTGCCAGAGGTGGCGTGGAAGCAGACACAGTAGCAGCATTCATGGAGCATCTGGACAAACACATGAATAGGAAGGGAATAGAGGGATATGGATCCTGTAAGTGAAGGCAGTTTTAGTAAAGAAGGGCAAAATGTGTCAGCGCAGGCTTGGAGGGCCGAAGGGCCTGTTCCTGTGCTGTCGTGTTCTTTTTTGCTTTGATAATTATAAAATTAAAGTTAATAATTAACTAATTTAAAATTCACCATGCATCAATTGTTCTTTGCAGGATTTCACGTTTCTACCACCTTCTGAGTAGACTGCACCATCCGAAAAGTCTGGTTTTAATTTTACACTCTGCCCCCAAGCAGCAGAAATTGTAGCTTTCCGGTGATCCCAATCAGTTGCCCCTAAGATGGCGAAATCTGCAATGATATCATATCTGGTACCTTCTAAATTCCGAGCAGTACAACATTCATTTACGTAACCTTCCCCCTTAACTTAATTCTTTGAATCCAGGTATTGTTCTGGTGAATCTATGCTGCACGCTTTCCAAAGTGGATAACTCCTCTGTGGCCCCGCACTGGCGCCCCCCCTCCAGCGGCCTGGTCAGGCGGGGCCCCGCACTGGCGCCCCACCCCAGCGGCCTGGTCAGGCGGGGCCCCGCACTGGCGCCCCCCCCCCCCCCCCCAGCGGCCTGGTCAGGTGTGGTTTGAGCTGGTCAGGGCTTTGTGCAGCTGACTCCTTTCTACTTGCAATCTGGATATGACCACCAGCAATTCATTAATGTCTTCACATATTTAAAAATCTTAGTATCACTGGGTTGGGAAGCATTGTAGGTCACTGAGTGATGGGAGACCAAGACTTGGTACACAGAAGGTCAAAGGAAACCGACCTTTGGATGAGCTCAAGTTTATGAAGCATGGAAGATGGTGGATCAGCTGAGTGTGCAGTGGAATAGTTGAGTCTAGAAATAACACAGGCACCTGGGATTCAGCAGATGAACTGATACACTGCAGAGTTGGGCGACGTGATGGAGCATCACCCCACTCCACCATCACAGCTGATCTTTTTGCAACTTGAACTGCACTTTCCTATCCATCCCCCATAACCTGTGACTGACTCATTTATCAGGCGTGAATACATTCAATGATCCCCTAGCGTCCACTACTCCTGGGGGAGGAGAAATCCATCGAGGACCAACACTAGGCATCACTTACCGCAGGGTGTCCATGCTGCCGGACATCCATCTGGGCAAAGGAGCAGGTATCCCCAACACCCACAACCTCCACTGTGAAGTTACGGAAGAAATCGATGATCTCGAGGGACTTGCGCCTTAAGCAGAAGATGAGGATGAAAGGGGTGATGATGGGGCTCAGCAGTTCCTCAAGGATGAAGACCTGTGGACAGAAGCAGGTTCATTGCAGGAGAGTGCCAGTTCCTTGGGCAGAGCGTCCCTCGCTCATACAACCCGAGAGATGGAGGACCCTCTACTTCACTGGTCTAGTGGATGACAGCAGAGCTCCCAGAACCCAGCACTCTGTACACAAGACCCACGTCTCCACAACACACAACCCCACATCACTACTCCCAATAAATGCCCCTCCTACTAACAGGACCGCTCCCCACACCCCTGCACAGGACCCCATGAGTTCCTGCACTGACCCTACCCCCCCCACTTCACCCACACTGACTCACTCTCCACCTGACCTGTGTGCTCCTTACCGCTTTGTATTGAAAGAGCTGAGCAAACTCATCACGGGTCTCATATCGATTGGCTGCCCCTTGCCAGTGATCAGGCATGTAGTGGACGTGGGACAGAATGACCCGGAGTAACTGCTCTGGGCAGAACACCACATGTTTGTCTGGAATAAAACACCTGGAAACAGAAAGATGGTTCACATCACCAGGAGAGAAATCAACAGCAGAGTAAACCCTGCGCTCCCTCCGCGCCGACCGCCCCCCGACGGCGCGCCGCTCCCTCCGCGCCGACACCCCAACAGGACGCCGCTCCCTCAGCGCCGACACCCCTCACCCCGACAGGGCGCCGCTCCCCGCCCCACCCCTGCCGACCCTCTAATGGTAATAAATTTACAACTAGCACCAGAAGCCTGCAACCCGGCATCCAGCAGGACCAACATATGAAGAGTGATTTTTTTTTAATTCATTTACAGGTTGAGGGCATCGCTGGCCAGGGCAGCATTTATTGCCCATCCCTAATTGCCCAGAGGGCAGTTCAGAGTCAACCACATTGCTGTGGGTCTGGAGACACATGTAGACCAGACTAGGTAAGGATGGCATATTCTTTCCTAAAGGACATTAGTGACCCAGATGGGTTTTTCTGACAATCTGCAATGGATTCATGGTCATCATTAGACTCTTAATTCCAGATATTTATTGAATTCAAATTCCACCATCTGCCATGGCAGGATTCAAACCCAGGTCCCCAGAACATTACCTGGGTCTCTGGATTAACAGTCCAGGCAATAATACCACTAGGCCACCACCTCCCCCTCACTGCAGTTAAGAAGAACGAGTGAGAAATCTCAAAGAAACCTATAAAATTCTAACAGGACTAGACAGGGCAAACAACAGAAGGATGTTTCCAACGACCAGGGAGCACAGAACCAGGGGCCGCACTGTAAGGATAAGGGATAGGCCATTTAGGATTGAGATGAGGAGAAATGCCTTCGGTGAAATGGAGTTCATTCCCACAAAAAGCAGTTAAGACCAAAACATTGAATGTTCTCAAGATGGAGTTAAAAATATTCTTAGGGCTAAAGGGGCCAAAGGGTATGAGGAGAAAGCAGGAACAGGGGGTGGAGTTGGATGATCAGCCACGATCATACTGAATGCCACGGGCAGCCTCAAAAGGGACAAATTGCCTACCCCTGTTCCTATTTTCGATGTTTCTGAATCATAGTAGACTCAGAATATTAATTCTGACTTTCTGTCAGTGATGCTGCAAGCCTTGCTGGAGTTTCTCA